AAGTATATATAATGGAATAATTTTCAAAATTGGACCTTCGATTATGCTATATATATATATATATATATATATATATATATATGGGATGACCCATGCCCTTTATGCCTAGATGAAAAACTATACATTATCAAATTTCTAAAAAACAAAAATTTATTAAATCAAAGAAGTGAAATAACGGTTTTTTGCAGATACTACCAAATATACGCCTTAAAAATTTAGTAATTTATAAATGGATAGAAAAAATTCCACCATACCATATATAAATAATTACACAATACCATATAAAATCTATTAGCAAATTAAATAAATTTCAGACAAGTATAAAAATATAGAATTAAAAATACAACACAAGCACCCCTTTAAGAAGCCATCAACGAAAAGAACAAATAAATTAACACCAAAAAGATTGTAACTAGAACATCAGTCAGTAAGTTTTAAAAAATAGTAATAAAAACAATAGAGTCTGGAAAAAAAGTCCATTGTAGTCAGACAAAAATCCCCTAACCAACCTTACACAACTCCCAAAATTTGACATATAATAAACATTCATACTTTCATCACAATAGTGACCCTTTGATAGCGCAAGAAAAAACCACAGATTACACCACCATTTTCAACCTATAAATGAGTAAACTATTTCTTCAGTAAACTATTCTAATGAGGTAGGGGCGATATCACCCCTGAAAGAATAATAATGATAATAAAGGAGGATATGTTGTAAAACAAAAGACCAAGTGAAAAAGAGGCGTTTTCGAATAACCAAGATGTTAATATGCAGTAAAGACTTTGAAATGTAAATGTTACAGAAAATTAATTTAGAACACGAAATACAATCTTTTTGTAAGTGTACAAAGGATATCAGATTACTAATAGAAAATTACTGGAACAATAATAATTTGGAACTTTTAAAAAAAGAAATGGATTTTGACACTATAAGAATCGAAAAGTTAAAATTAAGGATGTTTTGTCCTAGAATTTATTTTTAAAACAACAATCTCTTTAGTTTATAAAGAGCGGCGGAATAATTAATAGCGAGGTAATAAACAATAGCGTCTCGGTGTGAACCTTGGAAACCAATCGATGAAAAAGTAAATTGTTTATTCTCGGAGGAGTGAAGTTGTACTTTGGTAGTATGTCAGTACGTTCACACTAGAAAAACTGATACGTCATCATTCTGGGACTCGGAGGCCGGTTCTCTTAACAAAAAGGCGAAACAACCGGAGGAGGAAGGAGTTTTGGGTTCGTCTGTCTTTGAATGCAGTCGAACTGAGTGGAGAGACTCCAGTTGATTGAAAAGGAAGCGTCCGCTATGTGTTGCTGAAGCCGAGGGCGAAGAAGCAAAATGCCGCCGCTAACATCTAAGTACCGCTACTCCTCCTACTACTAATACTACTACTGAGAACGGGAACATCGAAGGTTGTGGTAGTTGCGCTAAGAACAGACGAAAAAGGGTTAAAACGAAGGCCACATCTCTCCTTTACCGAAATTATTTGAAGTATTTGTGCTTGTTTGGTTATTGTTCACATACAAGAAAATTCAACCTTGTGCAACAAGAATTATTTTTTTTGTGTGTTTGTTTATATATATATATATATATATATATATATATATAAATTTGTCCTTTCAAAATTGAACCGACTTGGTTATATTTTTTTTCTGTTAAGCCGATTTTCATTCGACGTACTCGCAAGTGGACCAACGGAGAGCTTCTGGATTTCTACGATCTGATGACCACTCTCCAGGATCAAAACAATCACAACGTGGCTGGAGGATGGCTTCGTATTGACATGTCTAACCTGTAATATTGAACCATACTGGACCAACGGTCGGTTTTGTGGAGTGCGTGGGTCCAGTGGGGTGTGAATACGGTGTTATGCTAAAACATCACTTGATAATGAAACTGTACTCTAAATTTTAATTTTAATATTGAAATTAAACTTTGGGACTTGAGACAAGTTTTGAAACATAGTAATTTCTGGAATATGGAATCACATTTTAAAAATAATTATATATATATATATATATATATATATATATATATATATATATATATATATATAGTCATCCACATACAAGCCTGTTTCGCTGTATCACAGCTCATCAGTGTGACTAGACGCACGATTACTTCAAACCGGAATCAAAACTGGACCGATTTAGCATCAGTAAGAGATCCTACCACTAAGCTATCGGCGCACGGCAGAGAAAGGGAAATTTTAACGTATTATATACGATATGTATACAAACGCCAGTAGCCAAGAGGGCTCAATACATAATTGAAGAGAGATGCGTTAATAACAACAGCAGTCACTGTTTTTAAAATTACTCTTTCTCCAGAGTGCTCGATCAGGTAAATTATTCTTAGCCGACGCGTTTCATTCTGTGTGGGACTTTATCAAGGCAATGTAGGATTTATTTTGTCTCACGTGTTTATATTCAAAGATTAGGATGTTATTGGTTTATCTAAGCTTTTAAATTTGAGAACGTTCATGAATATTTATCAGGTTTGTTAGTTAAGGCATGTGGAAGGTACAAAGTGTTATAATTCAAAAGTTGACAAAAAGTAAAGTGGGCGAGTAATATTCAAGATTTTTTTCATCGTCCATCTCATACCATAAAAATCTAATCACGACTAAAAGAATATTCAATTTAAAAAAAATCTTGAATATTACTCTTATTTTTTGACAAGACTTTGAACATCCATAAACGTTCTCAAATTTATAAGCCTTGATAAAGCAATGACAACCTCGCTTTTGCATATAAACACGTGGAACAACATAAATCCTACATTGCCTTGAGAATGCTCACCAAGGACGCAACGCGTCGGCTAAGAAAAGTTTTTCCTCTAGTCTCTCTTTTTATTCCTTTTGTCTCCTCTAGAGATATACTATATCTGATATATATATATATATATATATATATATTGTGTATTTAGGCAGCAATCCTTCATTTATGCATATTTCATTAAAAATGTCAGACAAAGTACTACAATTAAGCTTTTTATTTAATTATTCTTGTGTTCGAACAAGTTTTTTTTTAATCTTTTTTGGCCACAGAGTGTGTAGAAACTGTTCAAATGTTCTGTAATTCCGAGCGCTTTCGGCTATACTTTTAGCCATTATCAAGGATGAATTTATTTTATTTTTTTCAATTTAATTGAGTGTGTGCGTTGTGTGTATGCTTTTAGTATTATAGAGATGTTTTATCTTGTCATAAATTAACAGATGACCAAAAAGAATTCCTAAATCTCTCTCTATATATATCCTGATCTAACGTCTCGGATTTCAGTCACTTTCGCACCGCCGTAAGTTTGCTTCTCTGTGTCTATTTTATAAATACTTTCATGGTAATTGTTCGGATGAGCTCTTTGCTATTGTACCAAGACTTTTTGAATTTAAGCGCAATACTAGACTTGCGTCGAAATCTCATCAATTTACAGTTGGGCTGGCTAGATGTAACCGTAAATTCTATACTAAGTTTATTTTATCGCACTTCACGCTTGTGGAACTCCCTTCTGTCTCCATGCCTTTCAGTCAACTTTAATAAGCAAAAGTTTAAATTTAATGTCAGTCGCTATCTAACGTCCCCACTGATTATTCTTTTCTCTTCCCGCTCATTATAAACGTTTCTGTTCCTAATTCTTTCACACCCAGTAGTAACCTCTTGAGTCTTAGTGGCTTTACTACCTTTCTTGAGGTGAAACCGATTATATATAGAGAGATAGATAGATCAATTAGTTTACAGCGATAGCTTTCAAATATTCACAATATAAGTTGTTAAATCCATTGATATTTCTGCTACTTTGATTGCAAACACTCCTACTTGGCTTCGAGTTATTTATTTTAATAATAACGGCTTTAAGTATTTGAAACCTTTGTGTTCAATTCATATGCTATAACTATTATTGACAAGTCTACAAATCAACCATTCGTCCTTGCATTGAATACTGCTTCCATGTATGATCTGGTGCCCCCGCTGTTCATCTCGAGGTACTCGACAAAATCCAGAGATAGGTATGCAATGTGATAGATCCTGATATGGCATCTCGTCAACAGTCACTTTCTCATAGACGTGATATGGCTTCCTTCTACAAATATTTTCATGGCAACTGCTCTGGCGAGCTACTTTCATTGGTACCCCAACTGCAAGAATTTAAGCGTGCTACTAGGCTGGCATCTTGCTCCCACCCTGTCACTGTCGAAACAGTTAAATGTAACCGCCACTTCTACTCCATCAGCATTTTCTCTCGCACTTCCCGACAATGGAACTCCCTTCCTCTTACTTACTTCCCTGATAGCTATAATCTTCAAATATAATGTCAATCGACATCTTCTGATCCATTGATCTTGATCCCAGTCCTTCTCTTTATCCTTTCCTCAAACAACCATCTTTACTTTTACTCTCATTTTTTTGTAACATCCTGCGTGGTAGTGGCACTCCTACCTAGGTTGGGGCGATATGCTTAAAAAAAAAATTAGCGTAATACCAACCAGATTACATTGATCAATATGAGAATTTTTCCGTACTCTGACAGGACAACTTAAAATGAATTAAGAGTGACGGCAATGTGACAAACATATTAAATCGATGCTTTTATAACATTTATGATATAATGTTTGTGTGAGTGTTTATGTGTTTGTGTACAGTTTTGTATTTGATGTTGATAAACTCTCAGGTGCCTCGGATTTAATAATTGCTGGGATCAGAGTTTTTTGCTCAATGTAAAATAAATTGATAGGGTCTTAATAAACGGGATTCGGAAAAATTGTTTTAAGTTTATCAAAGAATGGTATGGAATTTTTTTTTAAAGTTTAATAATTTAGAATTTAAGTAAAGAAAAGTTTTTATTCTGGAAAAAAATTTAAATAGTACAATGGAACATTAATTCTCAAACAATACATTTATAAAAATGTGCTTGTAAAACCAACTAAAATAATTATTATTTCCTGTTTGCGTTTTTTATTTTATTTTTCAAAAAGTGTCAAATTAATAAACAGCGCGTCTTAATAAAATGGATGGGGGCGAAAAAATTCACAAAAAAGAAAAATATCCTCACCTTCTGTTAGGGATATAAGAGTAACCGGATATTGAAAAAGAAGGAGAGAAAAAGAAATGGAGGAAAGAAAGATACAGAGAAAAAAAAGAGGGAAAGAATGGAAGAGAGAAAGAAAGAGATAGCGGAAAGAAAGAGAGAAAGAGATAGAGAAAAAAAGAGAAAGAAAGAGATAGAAAAAAGAAAGAGAAAGTAAAAGAGAAAAAGATAGAGAGAGAAAAGAGAGAGAGAACGAAAGAAAGAGATAGAGTAGAGAAAGATAGAAAAAGGAAAGAGAAAGAAAGAGAGAAAGAGAAAAAGAAACAAGAAAGAGAGAACGAATGAAAGAGATAAAGAAAGAGAGAATGAAAAAAAGAGATAGAAAAAAGAAAGAAAGAGAGAAAAGAGAGAGAAAGAGAGATAGAGAAAAACAAAGAAAGAAAGAAAGAAAGAAAAAGAAACAGAAAAGAAAAAGAGAAAAGAAAGGAAGAGAAAATGAAGGAGATAGAAAAAAAAGAGAACGAAAGAGATAGAGAAAGAAAGAGAAAGAGACAGAGAAAGATAGAGATAGAGAAAAGAAAGAGATGGAGAAAATAAAGAAAGAAAGAAAGAAAGAAAGAAAGAAAGAAAGAAAGAAAGAAAGAAAGAGATAGAGAAAACTAACAGAGTCATATGCGTGCCACTTATTTAGCCACATTCGTTTCATAACACTTCATCCGGGATGACTATTTTGACAAAACATTCACCATTAAATTTCTCACTGCAATAAATAATTGAATAAAAATTCAACCAATCCATTCAATGAATTTTAGATAAAACAAATTTGACGTCGCTGGTATTTTTACAGTAAGTTGATTTATCTTTCGAAGGTTCACGCCTGACTTCTTTCAAGTCATTGGGAAAACCAGTTTCTTTCTTTTCTTTATTTTACTATTATAGATATATTTATATATATATATATATATATATATATATATATATATATATATATATAGTCGACAGTTTCTTTCTATACAACTCTTCACTTTCTTCAAAAAACATTCGTTAAACTTTCCCCTATATCTGAACTGACGAAAAAAAGGAAAAGCAATTATTATTAATTTAAACGGAGAAAAAATTTTGAGTGTTGCAAAACTTTCCCAATAACTTTCTGCTATTCCTGTCTGGATTGGTGTCGAAAATCGAGGTTCGTCGTCTGCTGCGTTTGAAAAATGGCATCGTGCATGATTGCATGGTGTTATGCATTTTTGGATTATACATTATTTTTTTTTTTTTTGCAGATACACAAACGTCTCGCAAAAAGCCCTGTCCTTTCAGAATTAAAATCCCACGTTCTTGCAATCACAACAGCACTGTCAACCATGCCCCAAATCTCATAAAGTTTTGTTTTTTTTTTAGTCGGGTAACGATAAAAACTTCTTAGCACTAAAGTAATCTTTTCAGGCCCTTTTTTTTTTTGCCTGGGGTTCAGTAAATTTCACGATCCGCCCAAAGAAATTGGTGTTTACTCAGCTTTTGAGAAAAATATCGGTTAAAACTTTTTAGTACCCCTCTGGGTGTGCGGAAGGGAAATTAGCGAGCCAAGTTCAAATTACAGTCCGTTGCATTCCCTCTCGTGCAAATACTTTGGAAAAGATATGCATTCATCTCCTTTTCACCCTCTGTGTAACAGTAGCAGCAGATGCAACAGCAGGCAGGCAATAAACAGGTTTAGATTTAAGTCTCCAAGTTCTAAATTCAGGAATGTCCCACAGGACAATAGCCGTGTGGATGAAAACATTGACTGATAAATTTGGTTGCATACTGAATATGAATTCAATCCCGGGACCACGTGGTGCAGATTCAAACTAAAAAAAAACCTAAAGAATTAGGGCGAGTGATCAGGATTAAAAAAAATAACAAGAGAAGATATGGCGTAGTTTAAAGAAAGGATTCAGTTAGAATTTCTCTCAAGAGACACCTGAAAAAGGTTGGTGGGCACAAGGTTGTGATAATAAATGAGGGTGTAATCTAAATGTGAATAATGAATGTGAAAGTAAATAATAGATAATGAAAATACATTGTTACATTCCTGGACTCAATCTTAGAAACAAAAACAAAAAAAAACGATGCAATTCTTCAGAGCTGAAAACTTCAAGGCTAAAATGTGTGCCTTAATTCCAGATCTCAATCCAATTTAGAATCCTTGGAGGATGAAAACTACAAAACGAATCAAACGAGTGTCTGAACAATTTCACAAACTAATCAAATCCTGTGTTCGTAGATGTGACAAAGTAAAGGCTATCGCCTGTAAGCAACAATATTCTGTATTACATATATATTAATTCAGTAATTTTAATTTAAATTGCATACCGTATATGTAGGCGTACAAGACGACCTCTTAACCATAAAAATCCCCCCAAATAGGTGGCCGTCGTATACTCCAGGTATAAAATGCAAACCTTATACCCTATTGTTTATGGCAGGTTGTTAGCATGGGAGATTTTTTTTACGGTAGCCTAACCCACCCCACGTCTTGGTAACTATGGACACAAAATTTTGAACAAAAACACAATTGGGTGCGTGTCTCAACAAGCTGTTTAAAGATCGCATTCGTTGACAGAGGAAGAAGTGGATAGTTAGCACGGAAAAGTCGTTCAGGCTACCGTAATAGCCTACCAAAAACAATGGACCCAGTCCTGGGGTATTGTAGATTGTGGTAGTTAATAGACAATATCTCCCCACCATATTTTTTCTTTAGGATTTGAGTGAAAAGAAAGTATATGCTGACTGAATTTATTTGACAAATTCAATAAATACATTTTAAAATACGAATATAGCCCGAAACTTATATTTTAACTTGAAAATTTGGAGGTCATCTTATACGCCCAGTCGCCTTGAACGCCAGTATATGCAGTATATATTAATAATTTTGTTCTCTAATTTTGAGCGGACATCTTTTCTTTTGTAATTAACAGTTTTTGTTCTATAACTTTATTCTTCATTCATTTTCATGCAAATATATTTTTTATGCAAATATATTGCCATACTGTAAAAAATAGTTACGACTATTTACTACGAATTTTATAACGACAAAATCTGTGGAATTGTAATTTTTTCTTTGTTAAACTTTCGTTTCTAATATTAGACACTACTGCATATTCTAGCACGTTTATGCTCAGGATATATGGCAATGGCGCTTTCTCTCATAATTATTCGGTAATGTCTGTTTAAACCGAATACAATAAAATAACCGAAATTCACAAATATATTTGAAATATAACTGAATTGAAATTATGGAATAAATCTGACAGCATAATTAACTAAAGATCGGAAAAGTGGAATAATACGAAGTTATGTTCTGATTTTTGACATTCTATGTTGTTTTGTTTTCATCACTTGTATAAGCATCACGTGTCTATTTTCATGCGTTCGTGCGTGTGTATACATCCATTTTAAAATTGTTTTGTTTTTATTGGCTTTGCGGGCGTCACGTGCATATCTCATCCGTGTCTATAAGTTTACTTCGTGAAATGTTAATTGTTATTTAAGTGTGCACTAAAAATTATGTATATTAGTGTGCTTGAACTGACTGATAAATAAATATAAAGAATTTTATAATTGAATCCATAATATTAGAATACATCATCTGCAAATGATTTGATCTCACGACTTTATTATAGGTTTTATTGGCGATATGAAGAACTGTGTACGATGGATATTTATTGTTTGTTGAATATTTGTTCATATTCCTTCTAGGTATTTTCTCCATAATGTATACAGTGTAAACCGGATATAAGAGATCCGGATATAAGAGAAACCCGGATATAAGAGAGATTTTCTATAGTCCCAAATTAGAGCCTGTGTTAATATATATAAATTAGACCAAACCCGGATATAAGAGAAACCCGGATATAAGAGACTTCTTCTCCGGTCCCGACAACTCTCTTATATCCAGGTTACACTGTATATATATATATATATATATATATTATTTATATTTGATTTCTAACCTGTAGTCGATATTAATTTGTCAAATTTTCTCAATTACAAAGCGGCCCTTTAAGTAAACACAATTTTATTTTCCTTCGTCCCATCTCTCTCCCCCACCTCTTCTCTTTCTTCTTTTTTTTTTTCCCACCTCCTATCCTAATTGTCTATGGTGTGTATATGTCACCACGAAATGTATCTTTATGCATTAGACATCCGTCGACTTTCTTTCTCTCCTCTTTTTAAATTTTTCCGCCCACCCCACATCTCCTAAAATTCTCTCTGTTAAGGTTTCATCTCCCTCCTCCTCATACTTACACTTTCTCTAAATTCTGTTTTGATTTCCGGAGTTGTTTTTTTCTGTTTTCATTTTGAATTTGTAGGTCTGATGATTTGGATCGTATTTACGATTCCAATGGAATAAATTATGACCATGGAATATTAGTGTTTAAGCCTTTTTTTTATATATATATATATATATATATATATATATATATATATATATATATTACAGAAGTAGCATTTTTAATATAGAATGTAGGTGTTATAGAGTGTAACTTTATCACCAACCGTTTACACTTGGCTGGGTTATTGAAATCCAAGTTTTCATTCTAACTGAATTCATCTATTTTCTACCGAAGTTCGACATCAGAATAATGAATTGCTTGCGGACCTTCATAGATATTTATAAATCTATGTATGGCTGTCATTATATTAAAATTCGTTGATTTATCAATGAAAAATCACAAAATAAATAATTCATCTTGAAACACGATGCCTTTACATGGAACCCACCAGAGAAAGACTTGCTCGGATTTTTTTGTTTGAAAAATGTTGGAATTTACGTAAACTCTGAGTGGTTCTAAAATACCATTAGCCGTTATATTTTTATAGATTTCATCAAACCATTTCTCTAAAAATAGCGTTTTTTTTTTTGTTGAAATTCTTTTTTCTCGGTTTGATTGGCAAAAATAGTATTCCCTGTCATATTTACATTGATTTGATCACGACTTCTTTCCTTTAACACGTTTTTATTTCATTTTATTTTTCTGACAGGATATCTCCCAATTCCAGCTACTTTCACTGAAGGGCAAATTGAACAGTTTTAGTCATTTGGGCTTTAGAAGTAGAGGCATGCACTCCCGGGTTCTACCAATATACCATCGTCGATAATGAATCCGTGAGACTACACCGGAGAACCTAACCAGAAGTTTATGCTTTCAATGTGATGAGTGTAGAGGCCAGTTAGTTGGTGTGACGTCTCGAATTTATATTTAACGCATAATACCACAAAATATGAAACAATAAGAAGGAACACGAAACGATTTTTTTTATAACAAACAAAGAATATTCATATTTATGTCTGTAATGATATACAAGCATAGGGGTTACTTATCTTTTACTGGAATTAAAGTCTTTACTAAAGAAATATTTTTATCTGAGTTCATTGGAAGTTGAATAAATTTGCCGCTCAAAATGTTCACTGTGGGAGAGTTGAAAAAATTCTGTAAAGCTGAAAATTTGTTGATAAACTTTTAGCTCCAGAAGAGTTGAAGGAGTGAATGTTCTGTAATGTTTAATTAGTTTCCGCTGCTTGCAGTTGAATGTTCGTAATATGTTAGTTTGTAATGTTCTGTAATGTTCGTAATTAAGCTTCGTACGCACGGGTGTGAATATGTTTTCATAGCGTCCGTCTGCAAGGGTTTCGAGACACGATTTCGTTTATAG